TTTCGAATCATCGGCGTTGACCTCGACAGCTACTCTACATATTTCTGAGGTCTGTTGGTGAAGAGCGGATAGTTGAGTGTCTGACAAATTGTTACATCGCTCCTCGGGGTGCACCCTGGCATGATATAAAATCTCATCTACAACGGGATGGTGTGGTGAGAATAGACAGAAGAGACAATGCGAGTATAAGTGAATGGACTTGCCGGCCACCCAGTTCCCCACGCCAGCACTGAACGACTGATCCAGAAGGAGTGCCTTGATGGGGCATGTCCGCTTTCGAACGCCATTTGCGAATTCCTGTAGGGTGGGCATGGATAGTATAGGGTCAAATCCGAGTGCAGAGATCGGGGGCTCAGTCAGGGGCGAGGTGCAGAGGCGGATACGACCAAGCCGACGGGCATCCAAGAAAGCTAGCTCCGTAATGCTGTTAGAGACCGGATCGTTTAAGTGCAAAATAAACTGGGTCTGTGATCCATCTTCGAGTTCAACTTCTAAAGATATGTGAACCATACCTTCATGAACCTTGGTGGCCAATCCGTGGATGCCTTCCGAGGTGTCTCTTTGTAGTAAGTAGCTAATTGGCCCTTCACCTGTATTATCGATTCATGCACCTGAATGATGCAAACGTGCTCATGATTCCCCTACCTGAAGCATTCCGGTCATTCCAAAATGAAGAACAGGCACTCTGCCCGCCCCGTCAAGTTGCATATAGAAAACTTTGCCTGAAAAGCGAATCATAAGCTGAGTTAGTTTTGTCGGGATATTCGCTGTATTTACCGTATCTTCCTACGGTGGTGACTGTGCGGTTGACGATGGTGTCGGCCTTGGATAGGCAGCAGTGAATCAAAACTCGGCTCATATGCTCGAGAGTACTCAAGTCTCGCCGACTTACAAATTCAGTGTGGGATGTACCAGAGAACACCAGCGAATCTTCATTGGTATCTACTTTGATAATCTTTGTGTCTTGTGCGACATCTCGGATGAGTCTCACAGCACGTTCAACTTCTGAACCACAGTAGTTATAAAAAGTCGGGAACGTAAGTGGAATTAATAAAGCTCTGGACAGGCACTCTGTTTATCGCACCGGGAAGTTCTGGCATCGCTTGTCAATATCACGAAGGACACCCTTGAGTCCAAGTTGAATCCTGTGCAGTGAGTGGCATGGGCCGTAGGTTGTGCCCAAATTCGAGTCGATCCTCGGCGTTTTAATGCGGCACTACCCGATCACGGTCTGGCACGTCTCTGCTGGTATAATTTGGATGTTCACTGCTTCGAGAAATTCACTCATCTTTTCAACAGAGAGCAATCGCAAGATGATTCGGTTGTAGAAATGATTGTCATGTCTGAATCGTAGTCATTAATAACAAATATAAGACAAACTCATAGTTATTACAAGTGGCACTGTACACAAATTAGGATGAGGCTAGCTATTGTACAACAACATAACAACAGGATGCGCTACATGAAGTAGGGTATGTCTAAAATGAACACAAGCTGTAAGGCTCAGGTCATACATGCTACGGTACGATTACCGGGTATATGGATGGTGACATGTCGAAGATATAGAAACGTGTATGCATCGTCCGTTAAGAGATGAATGTGATAGATACGTCATGGCAGTGTACATGATGCGGCGGACTCTGGGTCTGGTCTCGGTTGAGGTTCTCCGAAAGTTGATAGCAATGCAAGTAGATCAGCTATCCAGATGTTTGTTATCAATACACATGGCTCTAGATGAAATTATAGATAGTGCCCGACCTTTCTTCAGAGGTTTACTGAAAAACTCATTCATGCCTGCACTTAGGCAGAGTTGTTTGGTCGATTCTTGACAATCCGCACTCAAAGCAATTACTGAACGAAAACTAAGCGGGTCAACACATCGTCAATCAGAGGTTCGACTCACTCGGTAAATAAACAGGAGTTTTCCGCTTATTCTCTAGGAAGCGAACCCGTTTGCAAGCTTCGACTCCATCGCAAATAGGCATGTCTAGAGAGCAGCTGGAGCTCAGAAAGGACGCATATGTAGGAATGGTAACTCACGATGATCAAACAATGCCACGCTGAAGAAGCCTGGTTCGTGTTTCTCCCACTCTAAGTATCGTTCAGACACTACTTTTACTATTAGTGTGCTATAATTTGCCCATACCTGCTATCGCTTCTTCTCCGTTCGATGTCGCAATTACATTAAGCTTATAACGCTGCAACTGTGCAATGAGCAGCTTCTGGGCCACAGCATTATCTACAAGAAAAGTATGTCATCCTGTCACTCGGCAAGAACGAACAATCTACCTTCTGCTACAAGAATATTACCATGTAATGTCCGCCGCATAAGTGCTTCCTCGTCTCGGATAATAGACGCCGTTGCGATTGGCACGCTAGGTATATACGGAAGATTCTTCAAATCAGCGAGCGTTTGAAGAAGTCTTGTTTGGCGTGGAGGTTTGGTGATGCGAACGATTCCAAGACCTGCATCATTCCTCAACATCGGCGTGCCTGCCAGATTGTCCGTGGTTGGTGTGAAGAGGTGTATGATCTTGGTTTCGCTGAGAGGACCCAGTGTCAGGGATTGTAGAGTACGAGTGAATTCGTCAACTCCAGTCTCGGATTGGTCATCAAGAATGATGAAATCTAGAGGCGGGTCCAAAGTCTGCAAATTTTGGATATAGGAGTCCGCTTGCGGAATCGATGAAACAGTAACGATAGAGAACCCGTTCAACATAGTGCTCAAAAGAGACTGAGTGGGGCTGGAAGCAGAGCTGATGAGGATTCGAAGAGGCCGCGGATTAAGAAGACGAGATTTCAGACTCTCTATCTCACGGAGCGCCTGAATATTGTCATTTTAGATGATCAGTGAAGCTACAGCACACATAGCTACGCACCCGGCGAGATTCTTCGGAGTCGTAAATCTTGACAGGGATAGTAAACCAAAATACCGATCCGATACTAAGCTCGGATTGAACGCCAATGGCGCCACCCATAAGCTTTACCAATTGGCGAGAAATCGATAGCCCAAGCCCCGTACCGCCAAAACGCCTCGTGGATGAATTGTCTGCTTGTTGGAAGGGTACAAAGAGGAGATCAACGTCGCTATGATCTCGATGATTAGCGGATGACCAGGGATCAATATAATAGTTCTAACCTTGAGCTTAGTCCAATGCCAGTGTCCCTGTGGATTCCCAGTGTAAATAAACACACAAGCTTGTGAACATATACACTGACTGGATCACAAACTTGAGATTAACCTCCCCGGGAGTTGCCTGACCGCTCTTATCGATAGAACATACGACACGAACAGATCCATGCGCAGTGAACTTGACAGCATTGCCGATCAGATTCATCAGTACTGCATTTGATTGATTAAGCTATGGCGATTCCACTAGGAGAAGACTTATAGATAATACAGACCTTGTCGAATTCTCGCATAATCAGCTTTAACCCCTGCAGAGTTCATGATCGTCATTGTCACGAGTAGCAAGTGATGGAGAATTCGTACATGGTGGAACATCAGATTCTATGTTGTATGAAAGATCCAATTTTTTAGCAGCCATGGGAAGCAATAGTTCCATACAGTCCTAATACCACAGGAAAGTCAGCGATGAACTTATCTACTTGAGCACATAACAAACCGCAATCATGTTTTCTATTGCGAAACCTGAGAATTCAAGTTTTAACGCTGTCAAGCACTCTCAGTAGTGTCATCGATAAATCCAAGGAGAAATTTACCAGAGGCTTCTAGCTTGCTATAGTCCAAAATTGAGTCGATGATCTGCTCTTAAGTCGGTAATTGGATTTCGTTCACATTCATGATAACGCACCTTCAGAAGAAGCTCGCACGATTGTTTGGCGGTTTGCACTTCAATACCCAGTTAGTGGCACTCTACTCGTATGATAAACACTCACCGATCTCACGTTGACTTGGATTAAGTTCGGTGCCGCTTAAGATATCAAGTAAGCCATAAAATGAACTGTTGACACAAGTATGAGCCAGAAGACGTTTATTTGAATGTCAATACTTACCTAAACGGTGTTCGTAGTTCGTGGCTCATAGATGCGAGAAAGTTGCTTTTGATCTATACGATTTGTTGAGCTCCACTCTTGAGTAGATTGCTCAACGTCATATACCTTGGTCGCCTTTAACGCGTCTTCGCGGCTCTTCCTTGCAGCCTCGAGCGCATCTCGTTGAGCAGAGATCATCTTCAAATTCTCCCGTGTACCTGCCTGCACTGAGCGAAACAGAAGAGCATTGGCGATACCGATGCTGGCTTGTTGGCACAAAAGAGTCAAGATTGCCACAGTGTTAGGGGAGAAAGCATATTTCGCCGTCATGTAGACAGCCCCAAAGGTTTGTCCACGATTGCTGAAAATAGGCAAGCAAATTATCGATCTATATGGACTATGCTGCGCTTCTGACGAAAAACGTGGCTCAGTAGAGATATCTTCATAGTATAAACGCTCCTTCGTGTTCAGGGCTACAAATAGTGAGCTTGGTAATTCATAATGTCGGATGACACCCACCATATTGTATGACGGCTCTCCGAAGGGGGTCGGCAATTGCTCTGATAGGCTGTGGATTTCTGTCGACAACATTAATATAGTCATATCGTCATCAACATATCTTAAACAAATACATACTCATGTACTTGGCATGGCTCAGGCGGAACCATGCTAGTAGCGACAGTATAATCACCGGCTTCTCTAGCGATAACGACGCAAGTGTATTGACTACCCGAATTTTCTGTATTAACAATTTATGAGCTACTTTCCAAGTCTACAGAGGAGCAGTATACCTGTAGCAATTTCAGTTAACCGCTGTAACGCCATAGGTAAGTTGATATCGGTCGATATATCCTTGCTCCACTTCAGAATTGATGCCAGATCGGAAGCGGTCAATGACGAGATCTCATCTTCCTCAGTGTGTTCTGCTTTTCCCGGAATTCGGGGACTTGAGGACATGACAACACTGTCCGTTTGGACTGCGACATCGGAAGAGAAGATGTGACGCTTGAGAGCAAAATGCGGCCGCGAATCTAGCTGTGATGAAAGATAATTGCTGGGATACGCCTTTCAAGCTCTGGAGAGACAAACGGAATTTGATAACTTACACAATTCCCCGAGCACCCCACTGTGCCTGACGGGCAATCCCTCTTCGTTGCAGTTCATTGCCTAACCCTTCTACGCCGCAACGCACGAAGTGGCTTCCTTGCTGTCGTTTCTAGTTAGAGTAACGTCACATCAAATTATATCCGTCGTACACGCACCAGATATATTGCCCAACCACTTTCTAATAGCCAATCGTTGTTGACCGCAAGTCTGGATGAATGTCAGCATGCGTATCGACGTCATACAGAACAGACACATACTTTACGGCAACGTCGTACAGCTTGAAGGCATCCGGGTTGTTGGTAAGCGAGGCCATCTCGGCATCCTACCATACACGATAAACTCGCAGTTCGATTTAAGAAAGCTTCTACTTACCACGAGTGCAACCCATGCACTAGTGTTCACCGGGCTTGGTGAAAGCCACCTGAATATCAATGAGTCAGTCAGTCTTGAATGTGCTGAAAAAAGAGCTCACTTTCTGATATACGATTGGTTGAGTTCAATCTGTGTGAAGTATGAACCGCGCAATTCTGGGATATTGTCTGCTCTACGCAAACACTGAACCATGGCGAGACTATGGAAGAATAGTGCATATCGGGTGTGTCGATGACTGTTTTCGCGATAACAAAGGATGAATCAAAGCGTACACAGGGCGCAGCTGCTCAAGTTACGTACTTCGGATGTTTGTCTCGTGACTCGTATACCGAAAATCCCAGCTGAGCAGCTTCACTCGCATACCCAAGGCAGAATAATGCGACAACCTATGGAGTATGTTCATGAACGGCTCACATTTTAAGCAGAAGCTACATACCTTATAAGAATAGTACCTGTAGGAAGTGTAAGAAAATATAAAGGCTAATAATAACTCTCGCGCATACCAGCTCGTGGCCATGTCGAGAAGGCCCCAGGTTTTCTCGCCATGGGCGAAGTACTCACTCTCCTTGAATGTGTCGGTATCAAATATAGTTTCGGCCGATTGAGCATACGTGAATCCCCCGATTGCCCGAATGCAGTTCAAGACACCTACTCAAGAGTTAGTCACCGGGGTGAAGCCTGGTGTATGCACATACTCTGAGCTAGAATAGCAGTATCGCCGCTGGGAGCCCATTGCAAAATATCACTAACCGACTACTCAAACAGTCAGCAAGTTGATACAAGGGAAGCTAGAGGTGCTGACTTCTTCTGCTGCTACCACAAGCTCACTGACTGTATGAACCCAATGTTGGCTTCTAACATCGACGTGAAAAAGCTGTACTCACTATGATCACAAATCCAAAGGCGTGTCTGAATGAGATGGAGGCTTGCGTAGCTCGTGAATATCCTACAGACAAAAGTTAACAAGGTAGGTATTTCAAACTGTCTGAAACCTACTTGTCTCCAGCACTCTGACCATATTTCATGGCTTCTTCCAACCGCGGCAAGTTCGCGCGGATATGCACATTGTCAAAACCAGCCACCATTGACGAGAAGAGCACCAATGCGCGACTACAGGGATGAATGAGTGCACTGAATTAAGTGTGGAAATCACATCCTTATTACCATTTCTCATAAGATGTTCCATAGTGATCCGCGATTCGTAGTGCAAGCTTCCCGAGGTCGGCGGAGAAACGATATAGCTCTCTTCGATCGGCCGCAGCTATCGCATGCGTCAATGCCCGCTTCATGATTACCAAAATAGGTTCAAACCTCCAAGAGCCCAGAAGAATCCAAGTGCCGTACCGGAGCACATTCCCGACCTGAGCGAGGTTCAATATAGCATCCCTGGATGAATAATCATGAGACGTACCGTAGCGCCAGCTGAACGGTCTGTCACCGTATCGCGTCAATCTAGGGAGTCAAAGTAGCGAAATGGTACTTTACCGTCAGACCGATGATATCAGTAAACCCTTCGCCTACACTCCAATATGCATTGTGTCCTAAAGAGCGTTCATTCGGATTCAGAGACCAGAATAAAAGCAAACACACCTGCGTCGTTGAGCAGAGCGATGGCAAGGTCGGTTCGCGTGTCTCTCGCACGCGGAATCGCGAGAATCTCCTCAAAGCCAACAGCTAAGATCTCATTCTTGACCTGATCGAACATGATGTCCGCTTCGCGTCTAGTAGGCGAAGGGTGTACATCCACCCCCAGTATATGCAAACCTAGGAGGGTGTCTGCCAGCGAAGCTTTGTAATTCCCGCACATCCAGTGGTTTTTGGATCGTAGCCGCAGCATCTGAACCTTGCTGTCTGGGTCTTCTGCATGCTCCAGGCATGTCTCCACTAAGCTGTCTGACATGGAAAAATCACCTTGAAAAAGTATAAGATAAGATTGTAAACAAGTGGAAGACCCTCGGTACCTTTCCAAGTGTACAATCTAAGTATAATAACAGTGAGCGTCATGCCGCCCATAAGAACGAACTACATACTCGGCAAGCCTGAGATATAATGAGCAGGTCCTGCTAGCATCTGTAGCCCATGAAGAGGAGTCGAGCAGTGACTGTGCGTTGATATAAGACTGGAGTGCCAGCTGCACGATGTGATTGAGAATGGGGGGCTCCCTCAGCTGCGTGGTATAACTTACTTCGTGTGCCCCGCGAGTTCGGGCAGAATCACCTGCGTCTATCGAGAGCTCCAAGAGCTCATCCCGCTTGGCATGCTCGCGAAGAAGTGACAGGCAGCTTGGGTGGCTGTCAGCCTAGCATTCCCCTCGCACAAAATATGCGCCCATACCGTCTAGCATGTTCTGCAATGCGGTAGACGTCCGGAGTCGCCTCGTGTAACATCGCTAGAATGATCTGCGTTGCATAATAGTCAGTATAAATTGATATATACTCTGATCTTGAGCGCACTCTAAAAGACATCTTTGCAACCGCTTCCTCGGGCATGTCATTGGCCTCTGCTTGCGCAGCTTGACGGTATCGGTCGTGTGCAAAGCTGCACATGTCGCGTGCGCGGTGAACAAGCCATCCTTCCGTGATCGCAGTCTGCAAACCGTGCATCGATCGACGACTGCTAGACGGAAGTGTGTTGTCATTTATTGTGGAAACTGCCTTCGAAACATTCCACATGTCTTCGGGTTCTTCATCGCTGCCACTACTACCACTCGAGTCTTCCCAATCCATCATAAGAGCAACCTCGGCGACCTTGAAGCTATACGTTGAGAGCATGTTTAGATGTGGTGACCTGATGCGACGCATCAGAAAGGCACGTACGTTGGTCCGAACAAGGACGCCCATATCAAATACTTCCTGGCATCCTCCGGTAACTCATGAAAATGATTACAGAGGTACGTCAGGTCACTCGGGTCCGCAATCAACTGTTTATCGTGGAGACTGGGCTCGATCGCAGACATATCATACCTTGCGTTCACATTGTTAGCGCGGGATAGATAATCTCACAAAATTGCATGCAGCAGGCACGTACTCCCAATAATTCTGATCCCAATTAAATGTAATCTACAAGATAAATTAGAATTGTCTAACAATGCTACTTAGTGTAACGACTCACTTGATGCTGCCGTTGCAGAGTCATCAGAATGTTCCGTGCAGAGAACGCATTGCCTAATGAGGCTGCTAGAACGAGACGCGATAAGCTGGCGCAATCCTCTTTGGGCCGTCGAAGCGTCCGCGAAACCAATGTGGATATTGCTAAATAATTCAAGGGCTCAAGGTTAATCCAAGTAGTGGATCGGCTGGTAAACGTTGCCCTAATCCTATTTGTAGCCTCACTACATTCAGGAACATATGAGCCGCACGAGCACAACGTCACGACAAAAAGGGCCTTACGGTAGGTCCGAACGAGCCGTTGCAAAAACAAGCTATAACACCGTCAGAGAGCACCCATCTGGGAAAGAGAAGCCAACGTACGATTCGAGTTCGCGAGTTCACAATAGTATTGATGAGGTCTAGAGAGCTGTGAAACGGTAAGTGCACGTTCCACTACCAATCATGCTACGTACGAATCACTCGCGTCATGTAGGTCATCCAGAAATAATGCAAATAGACGTGTTTCTGCTAGAACAGAAAACACCCCCCGAAATAGACTTTGGAAGCGGGCGCGTAATTCATGAGTGTCTAGTACTTCCCGTGGTGCTTCTAACGAGATATCAAAGAGACTCAAAATGTCACGCAGCTCAGGTGCGCCCTCGTACAACAGAGGTACATTACGAAGTTGCGGGCCAAGCTGACGCTTGAGTGAAGTCACGAAGGTATGTAGATCCGTATGGAATACGATCAGCTGTCGAAGGACTGATGATAGACACGCCAGCTATTGGCATAGCGTGTGAGCACAATCCTCCTCACGAAGAATATACACTGACTAAGGAGGAAAATGGGGCCGCTTCCACCTCTGAAAATTTGGCCTGACCCCAGAGACCATGAGCTAAAAGACAGGTCTTCAGCACTATACACTAATATTAATCGCACAATTCTTACATCTCCAGCGAGCCTGGTTCGCAAGAATCAAGGAGCTTTTCCCCGCTCTAAATTCATTTTATCAGCCACTAATTATACGTGCTCCCCATGTGTTACTCACCCTGGGGGACCTAAGACAATAACCGCATGCGTCCTCGCTCGACTTGAAGACGGCACTAAGGCAACTCGCCTTAGGCCGTCACTACCGGAAGCGCTCGTGCTAGTAGTAGTCACCGCAGTGGTTACATTGGTCTCTGAGATTCGCACCGAGGGCCGAGGACTCATAGCATCTCCCGGAGACATAGGGCCGTGCTGAGAAACGTCGCTTTTTGACGAGCGAGATTCACTGTGATCGTCCGTGGTGCCAGTATTGGTGCCACTCTCTGAAGAACCGACGACGATGGAGCCTCGTGACGCTGCAATGTGTCTTGAATAGGACGTAGAAGTGTGCCGAATAATGTTTTTGATTGTTTCAAGTTCTTTCTCGCGACCAAACTGTAAAACGGTATTAGCCATAATAAAAGTGACTTTACAGATATATGACCTACCAAGGGACTGGGGATAGTGAATTCCTTTCAGCGAAATGAGTTAAAGCCACCTCCGATGATACTACACAGTGCATCCTCACCATAAACCTATCCTCGACGGCGATTTCGAAAGTAGGGATCAGCTGGATACAGTCTCAGTAAAATGACGAAATATATGCAACGACTTTGCTCACTTCCATAGTCTGATCAGATACCACAGTCACGGCTCTCAGAAGCAACCTTTGACATTGCAATAGATCTGCCTTTAGGCCATATGCGCTTTGATAACGTTGATCTGGGTTCTTGGAGAGCAACTAAAAATCCCCCAACAGTCCAAGGTCAGCTATATAAGAGCACGAATGCCGCAGCTAAGCCGTATACCTTATCGATGAGTAGAGCTAACACCTGTGGAACATCTCTGCGGACTTCATGTACGGGCATTGGCCGCTTTTGTGCGATGGCATGCAAAAGCTCCAAAGGGCCGCCCTCGAATGGCATGGTACCTCTACCGACCAACAGCGTCCAGAATAAGATCCCCAGTGAGTACAAATCCGTCCTGTGATCCTCGTTGAGAGCCTCCATGCTGCCAGTCTGCTCCGGAGCTATGTTCCCACGTATGTCAATTATCAGTATAATACGTCAGTATTCAGCATCAACATACCGAGGTAGCACAGTGCCTCCTTGACTTTGAGTTTCTTGACTTCCTCAAATGCATCTGCTCTAAGTACAAATGCAGATGGGACACCAAATTGCTCTAATGATACAGCCCTGTTTCCAAAATGGACCATACGGACTAAACCGCTGTGCGCATTTAGATGGAATACGTTCGCGCGCACTGTAGGGACGCTCGTTTGACACTCGTACTAATCAATTGAGGATGACTTACCTTCGCGGTGAACCAGCCCAGAGCTAAGAGTCTCATCAATGTCATGTAGAAGAAGTGTAAAAGCACACCAACCGATGCATCATCTCTAAGCAGTGTGTTGCTTGAATAGCAAACCTGGACGCGTGTGTGAGCGCTACGGATGGACAGGGCGATGTCTATAGCACGCACTCGAGGAAGGAAGCTAGGTCCATAATCTCGATTGCCTCCACCTCCTCTACATTATATGGCTCCTCCATACCCATCATGAGAATATCGGTATGTGACGGTGGCGGGCGGGCACGAGAGATATCGCCCAAGAGGAGATCGTTCACTTTATGAGGCGGGAAATATCGGCCCAAGATGTTAAGACCTGGATGGACGAGAAGGAGAACAACACAGTCTCCGTTGGAACGTGGGATGGAGAAGAATTCGATCGTACGGAGGGTGGTGCTCGATGACTCGGGAGAGGTAGACATGCGATCGAGACTGCAAGGTGAAGTTGGTACAGACAGATCTACAGTGGACGAAAGAGAACATACATATGAGCTTCTCTCTCGATACACATGGATGCATTCGAGTGAGCAGGGACTATCTTGGCCAGGACGGAAGAGCCGTCCTTCAGGCTGGTGCCCTCCGCGAGCATGGTCATACTACCGGTGTCTTCCCACTGCACCGCCTGATCCGGGGTTTAGCGAGTGTGATACGGGGAAATGAAGACATAAACTTGCCTTGTCGAATGTATATCCGGGCACGGAGAGGTGACCATCCTTGAAATAGAGTGTAGGCAAGGCTGGCTGATTGTACTTCCTCCGCATGATTGGGAGGAGTATACTAGTTGTTCCCTAACGATGCTGTCTAGGACTAATTTGGGATGGGGGAAAGAGGATCCAAACCTGCAGTGTGGCTGGAGCGGATGAGGGCAAGAGACATGTCCAAGTTACAGTAATTGTCACAGCTTAGATCTCGGTCAGCGACTCTGTGTAAATCGCCCTCCTTGAGCAGTCTAGGCTCGTCACGTTCGTCACTCGCGACGTCATCCCATTTCCTACATCAATTGACCTCCACCCTAACAAATCGGCACACTGTCGGAGTTCAAGCATACATCCCCAGCGCCCACGTTCATTGGCCTGAGACACCGTATATTTCAGATCCCGCGGCAGCGTCACACGAGCTTCACAATATCCATTCGCGATAAGGCCGAGAGTAGGGGTACAGGCAGGCTAACAGTATGATACTTAATTAAAAGACAAAGATAGCAACGACAACAAGAGGAAAATTAAGACGTCACTGAGAGCATAAAATCAGTAAACGCTTCAGCCAGATCGGCTGTGAAACACTTACTGTAGCTCGCGGGATCAATATGCTCAGGCAGTTCGGGTACAGCAACCTCGAACCGGGACTGGATCGCAAGCATGACTTGCTGATCACTCTCTGACGAGACGAAAGTAATAGCAAGACCTTTGGTGCCGAAACGGCCAGCGCGGCTGTCCAAAAGCATCAATCAACATGCGAATACTAAGCAAGTTGACACATACCCGACACGGTGTAAGTAGCTGTCTGCATCGGGAGGACAATCGTAGTTGATCACAATATTGACCCGCTCAACATCAATACCACGACCAAAGATATCGGTGGCGACAAGAATGCGTTTCTCAAAGGCTTTAAAGGCCGTGTAACGGTTGATGCTAGTACGCCTTCGTGAGAACAAAAATATCGCGCGATGATATAAATGTCATACCGCTCCTCCTGTGACAATCCAGAATGAATGCTGATACTCGGGAAATTACACGAGACGAGGAGTTTGTCAAGCTCGATCGCGCGTGCGACAGACTTGACGAATATTACAACCTGCATCCAACGTGTGAGTTACAGCAAGAATGCACGAGTTATCACCAGCACCTGATTGAATTCCAACGTATCCAACAACTCGTTCAACTTCCTGTTCTTTGCAACCTCTTCGAGTTTGGCGTAATGTTGGCGCAGTCCGTGAAGCGTCAGTTTCGTCTCATCGTCAACAAAGATTTCAAGTGGCTAAATGCATGAAAAAAAAATTGTTCAGCTAAGCACTCAACACACAAGAATGAATAACAAACGTTAGCCATGAACTTCTTGCACGTCACCCTAATCTCCTTGGCCAACGTCGCACTGAACATCATAACCTGCTTGTGATGAGGCGTTGCTCGGAAGATTTCTTGAACGTCCCGGCGCATGTCTATTGCACGATGTTGTAATTGGTAAGAATCGTTGGCACCAGCAGGAACAAAATGGAGAAGGAAGAAGCATCGCGACCATGAGCAATAAAAGTAACGAGGCAAAACTCTATGCTCTCTGATCCTTGACGTTGGCGGGCGACGAGTGCAACGCCTAATAGACGATGCTTCTTTGCACGTCGGGTTTGTCGAAGCATTCATCATTCTTCGCCTTTCCATTGCCCTCGCCCACAACAAACGCCATACCAGGTCCCGGCTACCGACGCCGAACTCGATCGAAGGAGAGTGCATGAAGCCCACGGAGCAGGAGGCCGAAATTCGCATGACTAACCAAGCTGTTCAAGCATTTTATCGCACTCGTCAAGAATAAAGTGCTTGACTTTCGACGCGTCCAAAACCTTGTCTCTTGTCAATGCGTTCAGACGGCCAGGAGTTGCAACGACTATGTGCGGGCATTTGGTTTTGTCTCGAAGCAACTCGGCATCTTTTGCGACCGGTGTGCCACCATAGAACGTGCTGACACGAACGTCAGGCATGTACTTGGCAAACCGGGTATACTCGTTCTTGATTTGAAATGCAAGCTCGCGAGTGTGGCACAAGACGAGGACGGATACCTCGCCATTGACAGGTTCCAGTTGCTGGAGTGTCGCCAAGACGAACACTGCAGTTTTTCCGTGACCTGACTTGGCCTGACACAAGACGTCCATTCCCAGGACCGCCTGTGGAATACACTCCTGTTGCACTAGATACCAACGATTAATACAACGGTCTATTATAAACTTCAAACTGATATACGAACCTTCCGAGGGATGCTCAAAACCAAGATCACTTATGGCGCGCAGCAACTCGGGCTTCAACAAGAAGTCCCTGAGGCAGAGTGAGTAGAGAAGATGTGAGGCGCAAACGCACAACCGACCTGAACCCAGTAGAGTGTATTCCTGAAAAGTTCTTTTTATCTTTCTCGCCCTCACCGTCGACAGCAGGCGCTGTTGCAGAAACAGCGCCATTCGTCGCTGATGGTGCTGCAGCCCCATTGGTAACCACGTCGTGTTCGTCCTCGTAGTCGATGAGTTCTTCGTTGTCGTGTGCACTCATGCTGGCCAGAACAAAGAGTAAAGCTAGGGAGGTGAGAGGGATTGAAGGGAAGGACAAAGGGGTTAAGCTGATGTGGCGGTGAGAAAGAAAAGGCGACGTCCGACGCGCCCTGCCGCGTTGGTCAACTCGCGGTATTTGCCGGAGTCTGTTTGTTTGTTCGCGCACGGACCTCCATAGATACTGTAGCGCTCTGCCACAGCCTGGGCCCCTTGAGTGATCCTTTGCTAGTCCTGGACGAACGATATATCGCGACGATAATTGTGGGTCGCCATTTCCTATCAACGTAATCTTCAATGATGTAACACAAGCATTTCCTCACAAGTACAATATGTTGTACCAAACCGGAGTTTCCATGTGAACGACTGTTAATTACGCCCTCTTCCCATTATCTTCCTCTTTCTACTAGGTGTATTTCGGTCGAGATTCGATGTCCATTGATCCTGCCTCTGTTCTGTCCACTGATGTCAGGGTAATACATATGAGCGTCAACTCAAGGGTGCAATCATATCTGCACTAGTGTCTGATAATGAGGGTGTTTCTAGACATGTTGCCGACACGAGTCTGAGGGCAATGGGCCTGGCTCATTTGACTTCATTTGATATGCCCGCACCAAGCCTGTCCAAACACGTTGAATGATCTTATGGTGCAGATTTTGCTTCCACCATGAGGACACCGCGGCAGTCAGCTTGATTGGACTTTGTGCTCGTGTTCTGCTGTCGGTCTTATTTTTGGACGGATAGGATAGTTTTAGGCGTGAATATATGCGGTTTTATGGACGTGCTTCTCATTTTCTTGCTGTTGCAGTATTGTCGCTTTGTAGTAACAGTGTTCCGATAGTATATCATCGCGCTCCCTACGCGTGCAAGGCGCTTCCACTGGGTACCTCATCATGAGATTGGTATTGCAACATCCTGTCGAAAGCATGCATGTCTTGTGAGAGTCGAGTGTGTCCAGCTTGGTCCAGCCTACTCCATAAGTGATACATAAGTGCAGCTACCCCGAGCGGAGTTCCGCTGAGCTCGGTCGTATGGTCTGAAGGAGGCGTAACTCCGGGCCGTTACTTATTTGGCGACAGCGCTTACCCACAGCTTCAAGTGAAAGCCGTGCATAATCCGGCATGTAGGCTCTTATAAATGCTGTCTGTGGTCGTTTTGAGCCCCGCACACGACCATGTCCAAAAAACAGACCTATCCGTTCTGGTGAGTGGAATTAGTGCTTGTGAAATATGGAGTCAGTCGTTTGCTAACTATCGGTCACTAGGCTCGGAGGTTCGTTCTCAATGACATCACGTTTTTAAGGTCTTCTGATACAATGCGGATTGCCTACATTACCTCGGCCTGTAGGAGTCGCGGGATCTTGTATGTCCTCCCACTCTGAAAAAAAGGTTGTACCAAACTGACTAGTTTGCAGTGGCAGCATGCTGCACGCATCCTCTCGACCTGACGAAAGTGTGAGCCAGTATCCTGCCTTCCACTGCATGACTTGTTTGCACAACGCGGTCTTCTGATATCAAACTACGCAAACAGGCGAATGCAGACCATACCCTCGGCTCCGGGTGTCAAGCGGCCGTCGATGTTCTCCGTCATTCGAAGCACGGTCGCTGAGTCTGGCGTCAGAAGTCTCTACACTGGCCTCACGGCATCGTTATTGCGGCAGATGTCTTATTCGCTCGTTCGACTGGGAACTTACGAGGCTATGAAGGAGCGTCTTTCTGAAAATGGTCCACCTTCTTCGGGTCCACTTCTGGTGGCTGCAATGGCCGCGGGTGGTCTGGGTGGTATCGCTGGTAACCCCGCAGGTATGTCGCATGCCTCCCTTCGAAATGATATCCCGGGTTGTTAGGGTTTATTGCGTTGTAGATATATTGGTAGTGCGCATGACCAGTGATTCTGTCCGTCCACCCGAAAAACGATATAACTATTCGAACGCAATAACCGGGCTGGCGGCGCTCGTCAAGAATGAGGGTGCGAGGGGTTTGATTAGAGGTCTGGGCACCAACACTGTGAGTAGCTGTTACTTCACCAACGATCTTAGTTAACATAGTGGAACTAGACTAGAGCGATCTTGATGAATGTAAGTAAATAGTTTTCTATAATTATTGTGTTATGAATGTCGCGTGTTGCAGGGCTCGCAAGTATGGTCGTAAGTACCGATATTTACGTGGTTGCCTACTACGTGGAATTGACGTTATGCAGTTATGACTTTACCAAGTCGATCCTGTTGCACAGCCGTATACCATTCGTCAACTACGAATTCCGTGACAACCTTGCTTTACACACGGTCGCTAGCACTATTGCTGGAACGGTGGCTACGAGTGAGTACAACTAATTCATGTCGAGCAGTTTCACTGACGGTGCCAATCCTACAGCCGTCTGCTCTCCCGCAGATGTGATGAGATCTCGTTTGATGTCTGCGGTTTGTCACTGCGCCAGTTTTAACAAAATGCTGTTGTGCTGATATCTCATAGACCGGAAAAACTAATCCCGTAGAGGTGTTCACGCGATCACTTCGGGAGGAAGGTTTTGGATTCCTGTTCAAAGGCTGGACACCCGCTTTTATTCGACTTGGACCCAACACTGTTTTCATGTTCATTTTCCTAGAGGTTTGTACAATTATCCTTTGGTATTGGGTGTTGTATTCTGCTGCTCACCCCAAGTTCTCTGATTCAGCAACTGAGAAAGGGCTGGCGCACATTATCCTCAGCTGAGGTGGCTGGAGGTTGATCTAGGCATGGGTAACAGAGTCATAAGTTATTGATTTATCGTTGCTCTCTACAGCTGCAGGACCTAGATGTGGTCTGATGTTAGTCTCGACATTCCATAGATGTGGTACATTACTATTGGATGTATTCCTATCTATCTGATTTATATCATTGGATTCAAATTGGTTGAATTGTGGTTGAAGGTGTTATTATTGGACGTGGACGCCATCAGTGGACAGCATTTTCTTATACAGTAGCGAGCGAGGGCTAAGTGATGCAATATAACAAGACGTCGTCGGTGCGTTCCTCGGCGGGCGACGCCGCGACGAGCCTCCCGTGTCTGCACCTGATCAATCATGTGACCTCTTCCTCGATCATCCTAGGCTCTCGGCGCTCGCACGACGACTCGGAAATCCAAGAACTGGCACTGATCGGGTCCAGCATTTCAGTCTACTTGTGCTGTGGGAATCTGGTACATATCTGACCATCCACATAGCATATTGTTCATTCTGTCTGGCTGTACGCTCTTTCTTCGCCTTTCTACGGTCACAATATGGAGGCATTTCAGTTACTTTCGCGAGGAGGTGCAAAATTTGACAAAAACAAGTTCAAAGATGATTTCCGACTGTTTGACGTAAGTGGAATTTGTTTTATTGATTTTCGTTTTCTGCATGATTATGTGCCTACAGAAGACTGAACGCCAAAGGGATAAGGCAAAAGCTGCAGTTAAGTTCGCGGACGGAGAGCTGCCTCCTGAACTGGATTTCTTCAAATATGCTCAGGGTGGTGCTCCAAAGCGTAAAGAAACTGAATCTGGAAGTTTAGGGAGGGTCGGGGAAGAAGTGGGCGGTACACAGATGAAGAGGCGGAGGACGGAGCCCACCGATAGTCAAGATGAGGACAGCCCGCCCATACCGAGACATCGTGTTACTGCGAAGGGTTCTAACGTCCCAAAGCATATAGAATCTTTCGAGGATCTACAAGAAAGATACAAGCTACACACGCAGCTGCTTTTCAATCTTTCGGACAGTGGATTCAAGCGACCAACTGGGATACAGTCTCATGCCATACCTATACTCTTAGAGGTGAAGCAATCATTAGCTCACGTTGGATCGTATCTCTAATTTATGGAACGGAAGTCAAGGGACCTTGCCGCAATTTCACCAACGGGTACTGGAAAGACATTATCGTATCTTCTGCCTATTATTTCTTCACTGGGTAGCCCATCGGCCAAATTGAAGAATGACTGTGGCCCCGGTGTACGCGCACTTATTCTGGCTCCAACGCGTGAGCTAGCCCATCAGATCCACAACGAGTGTCTCAAGCTGGCGCAGGGCCGAAAATGGAGAATTGTTCTCTTTAGTAAGGCGACTGCTAGCACGTTGGCAGACAAAAGCGTACAGGATAAAGTGGGTACGTCCATAAAAGGTCTGGACCGTGGACCTCCAAGGACTCATTGGCTTCATAGATATAATTATCAGCACGCCGTTACGAATGGTCTCGGCCCTTCAAGCCGGCAGTCTAGAACTTCGAAAGTAAGTATTGGCGCCGTCCCTCAGCCAGAGCGTTCTCACACTTCCTAGTGTTCGACACCTCGTTCTAGACGAAGCAGATCGGATGCTTGATGCCGAGTTTCTCACACAAGTGCAAGAGATCATCACCGCGTGTAGTCATCCACAAGTCCAGAAAGCTGTGTTCAGCGCAACGCTACCGGCTGGTGCGGAGAAGATCGCCATGGACATGCTCCGTGATCCTATACGCATCGTTGTAGGCCTTAAGTGCGTTACTACCCTGGCCTCGCCGATCTCCTCTGATGATTCGTTTGACTCTTTCAGAGACACTCCTCTTCCCCTCATTGCGCAGTCGCTCACTTACGTAGCTGATGATCCCTCAAAATTGCCAACGCTTTTACAGTATCTCTCTCAGCCGTACAATCCCCCTGTTCTTATCTTTGTTTCCTCGCAGCCGCGAGCAACGTCGCTGGCTGAGGAGCTGGTGCTTAATGGTGTGCTGAATGTAGATTGTTTGCATGCCGGTATGAGCAAGAAGGAACGAGAGGATGCAGTATCGCGTATGCGCCGCGGGGAGAGCTGGGTCATGGTCAGTACCGAAGTCATGGCCAGAGGTATGGACTTCAAAGGCGTGAGAGAAGTCATCAATTACGACTTCCCTCAAAATGTGCAGAGCTACGTTCACCGGATAGGTCGCCAGGAGTTTATTGTACGCTCTCTTGAGCACTGCTGATTCAATCTACACAGGTCGCACAGGGCGTGCAGGTAGAGAGGGAAAGGCGATAACATATTTTACAGATGAGGACTCTCCCTACCTGAAGACGTGCGTATCCCCATCGAGAATGTACATTGCGTATTTTCTCAGTGGACCCGTTCTTTGCTGTTCAGGATAGCCAATGTTCTTCTGCAATCGGGTTCATCGGTGCCTGAGTGGATTCTGAAGTTACCGAAGCCGTCGAAGATGAAGCGTCGACAAATGGGCAAGATCAAGCGCTCAGAGACGGTCAACAAAGCCAGCAATATTGGTCGGAATGATGCGATAAAGAGGAGGTCAGTACGCTCCACCTTGTCTAGCCGAGCATCGCCATAATCGATAACGATGACAGGGAAATGATAGCTGGATCGAAAAGGCGGAAGGAAAAGACCGAACGACAGGTATCGACAGCCGAATATGGGGCTGACGCGGAGGATGGTGACGAGGAGAGCTGAATATCTAGCCAACATGCTTAGATGTCGTGGCTACTCATAGATTGAATGAATAGAACACGATGTGACGGTCATCTTGAATATTCTTCTGGCGAAATCTGCATGTTGCTCAATTGCTGCAAGTTGGCAGGCCGAGTGGCGACGGGTGATTAACATGCTGTAGAAACTCTACCAAACAAAAGCGCCCTCCCTCTGATACAAAGACCCATCATCCATGCAACCTCGCTCAGCCAAACATCTCTAAACATCCACGCTCAGCCAAGCCTCGCTAGATAGTAGACAATCCTCGAATCCCATGTGCGCCGTGGCATTGTCTGGATGGCAGTGGGTGCACAATCGGCTCCCTGCGCCATTGTGAGGTGGAGTACCTATTAAGAGAAATGAAATCGGCCGTTCGGAAAACATGTCAGCATCGTTGCGGAGTCCGGGCGATACACAGATCGCAGGATTGCTGCGCTATGGTCTGCTGGAAGAGGCCACATGACGCAGCCACGGGGGTGATAGCTACTTTGCCAAAGTCAGTGGCAGCTGACCCAGCGAAGCGGGTCCCGGTACCTTGTAGAAATTACTTACGGTATTAAAAATCACGGCTGAAGGTGTCATGAGCGCTGCCCCTGGTATGACGTAGGAGACAGACGTACCTCGCTAATACGGTGTTCGGCGGTGTTGAGGAGTATTACAACGAGCTTGAGATGTAATTGATTGCAGTACGAAGCACTTCCTGACGAAGCCCTTTCTACGTGACAAGATAGCGACTTCTGAGTTATAGGCATTTTCGCGCCGAGTTAATGAACTCGGCAAGGCATTCTGTGGTCTGCCAGAGCATGGGAAAGGAGAATCCAAAAATCCTGACAAAATTGATCCTAAAGGGATAGCCCTGCCCTTTGAACGCCCTTTTTGAGACCTGGGGTCTAGACTCATTCATTAGCGACCAGAATTTAGGTGATACCGTACTTGCAGATTACTCCGCCACTGGCAGTGGCGCCACCGCAAAATGCTTCCGCGAAAATTCGAAAAACGGTGTCTGGCGAGAGGAGGGACGTCGCGAATTCAAAGTCCGGTTCTCGGTATCTAGATAGCAGCAGCCTTAAGGCATCCATGAGGCCATTGTAAAAAATGTTAATGGCCACTCCCTCGCATGGCCATTATTTAGGTTTGCAGTCGTCGACCATTCAAAAGGCGGGGACTCGAGGACGAGAGGCGTTCCGACTGTGACCGCTTCTCGTCCCCGGGCACCCCTTGTACTGACCTGTTCTACTCTCCCCACCCCTTGAGCATACGCTTGAAGCCATGCCAGCGATTCGCCGTTCGCGCCGATTGTCACAGAAGCCGCCTCACGACCCAGGTTAGTCGCGCTCACTGTTTGCCCGCTATTTGCCACTGTGGGTCCGCACTACGTTCGTTCTTACTCACTTGCTTCAAATGGACTACAGAGTTCGAGGAATTTGATGACTACGATCTCCAGGATCTGCAGCTGCTCTATCCCGACCCGGCCGCGCGCGCCTCCCCCGCCCCCTCCTCCGACCCGCCCTCGTCCTCGTCCTCCTCCCCCGCCGACCTTCCCGTCGACCTCTACCCCTCTCCTCCTTCCTCTGCACACGGCGACGACCATGTCTTTGTCCCTCGCTCTTCTCATTCGCGCAAGAAACAGCCGGATCACGTCCCTCGGCCTCCCAACGCTTTCATGCTCTTCCGGTCCGAGCTTTGGGCGAAAGAGAAGATCAAGAAGACTGTTGTCAACGACCACCGCGAGATCAGTCGCATTGCTGGCTCTCTCTGGCGCGACCTCCCTGAAGAGAAACGCGATGTGTACAGGCGCCGTGCCGACCAGGTCAAAGACCGCCATGCTGAATTGTATCCCGATTACAAGTACTCGCCCGCCGGCAAGAAGGCCAAAGGATCGAAGCGTAAAGCTTCCAAGGATACGGATGCTAGTCATGCCCGTTGGCAGACTGTTGCTCGTCTTATGAAGAGTGGCGTGGAAGGAAATGAGTTGGAACGCCAGGTGAAGAAGTACGACGAAGACGGACACGTCGATCTCCCCCCCAGTCCTATCAGCCCCCCTCATCCTCCTCTCCCCACGCCTCGTCCCGCCCTGTCTAAGGGCAAGAGCAGGGCCACGAGAAAGGCACGACTTCCCCAGCCCCCCCAGCCCGATCTCGGGGCTCCGAGCAAGTCTGAGGGCAGTCCTGACCACCAGCTCATCCAAGTCGTTAAAGATGAATTCGAATCTCCCACTTTGGAGTTCACTGACTCTCTACCGGCAGCACAGTCCCCGCACTCTGTTCATCAGGACTCTCCTTTCTGGTCAGGTGATGGTCAGGTATGTGTACTCCGCTTGCTATCCGACCCAAATATGTTCTTACATGTGCGAAAGACGCAGACCAAAGAGCACTTTGATATCGACAGCTCTCGGCTGTACGAACCCTTCCTTAACCACGAGCCCGCGTTCCCGAGTGGCTCCTCTCCGTTGTTCACTAGTTTGGACGATCTCGTGCCCTTGCAACCGACCCCGAATCTCGACACATTGTTCGATATTTCCCTTACGACCACACCCGATCTCTCGCCGTTCCGATATGGGATGCAAGCCGAGTCCTGTATGTCTTCTACTAATATGCTCGGGGGCTGGGCCACTTCCCTCTTCCTGGAGGAGCGAGAGAACATATCTTTCCTGCAATCCACTGTCATGGGTGACGAGCCTAAGATGCTCGAAGAGATGGATTCTCTGCCGTGGTTGAACTTCGACGTCCCGGTCTGACGCTCGTATTCCTTTCGCTCTTCTCTCCCATTCGAATTCGTTCTTCGACTTGCATTTCTCGGACGTTAAGTCACCTATTGATAACCAATGCGTCTGTACACCTTCGTCGTCTTCGCTTGCTTGTTTCAGATGTTATACTTTTGCTTGTCCTAGTTGTCCTAGTTGTTTCTTCTCGTGTTTTCCTCGGTGTATCAAGGGTTCCTGTTTCGTAGCGCACGTCTCAATAATCATATTATTAACTGCATTTTATCGTACGGCAGCTCTACGGATCACTGGCACATCATGTCTTTGCTTTCTTCACAGCCCCTTCTTCATCGATGTCCTGGCTTCGCTTAATACCGGACGCGCCACTCTCAGGCGTGGCCAACCTCCCAGCCGCATATTCGGACTTCAACCATTCCTCGCATTGTTCTTTGGTGCCATCAGGAAATTCCAATTGCCACTGGAGCACGCGGCCGAGCACTTTGCCGGTCCACGGACCGGGATTCGCATCCAGAACCCTGAGGATATCACGACCCTGTCAAGGATCTTATGAGCGAGAGTAAGGTACCGACGCGTAACCGAAAGACTGACGTCAACAATGGTCTTGCAGTCTACCAGACCGGGGGTGCCCACTTCCTCTGCGCGGGAGATAAACGTATTATAGGCTTGTATGCGTTTTTCAGCGGCCGGAGCTTGTTATCAAGAGGGTCAGCGATAATCTCAAGATCTGACAATTGCATGCATGTAACGATAAGACTGACCATCAAGCGCCTCTCGTGTTATATCCCAGAGAGGCACCAAATCCTGGACAAGCGAGAAGAGCATCGAAGTTGACCATGTGATCCCTAGAATTTGGGGCTGATGGACTGATTTATGTCGCAGCAACAAACCTACACACAATGAATTAAGACCTTGGGCATCAGTGGTGACAGCGAAGCCCGAACGCGACAAACCTTGTCGAACTCTCTCCTCGCCGTCTGTGCTTGCTGGCGTCCATGTAGATATGCTCTCACTAAGCACATCCCACGCAGCAAACAGGGCAGGTGTCCCATCCAAATAATGATTTTGTGTCCCAATTTTAAGGCCATCACGGAGGATCCCTTCGATGACCGAGCATCGCTTGCCCTTACGACCTACATAAGTGAGGCCACGATACGGGGTAAGGGCGCATGCTAGCCACACCCGTGCAAGGACTGCGGGATGTTTGGTAACGTCGGCAAGAAGTAAGGGATGTAGTTGGGGGATGAACAGCGAGGATAGTGCGGTTAAGGAGAAATTTTGAGTGTATGACGTGGGAGAGGTATTGCCAAGGAAGAGATTGAGGATGGAGGCAGCTTTGACAGCGTCCTCAGGGGAAGTCGGGGTGCCGGACAAATTTGATTCCAAGGATGGGGGCAGATGGAAGACTGGACCATAGAGGGAGAGGTTGTGGATAAGTTGTATCGAGCGAAGGGGATCTCGACCTATGTGGAGAGGATGTACTAAGCCGCAGAGACCAGAGAAGGCGCAAACACAAATCCAGACCTTTCATCATCTTATTCAGTTCATCACCTACCCGTTCCCTACTAATCTTCGAAACCACTGCTGTCTGTAGATTCGATGAGATAAATTACCCACTCGTTTGCGGATCGCAGCTACGTAAGTCCCTACTTGAATCTCTGGATCTCGTACAGCGTCCTGCAGCTCTGGAACAAGATCGAAACCCAGTCGAGAGGCAAACCTCACGCAGCGTATAACTCGTAGTGGATCGTCCATGAACGTCTCACGAGGTGGAAGGGGAGTACGAATTAATCCATGGCGTATATCTTCCAATCCCTACTTCAGTAGCGTGATTATGATGTTTATAAGTAAAGGCCTCCAAATACCTTGCCGGTACAATCTTCCACAGATCTGGTGTGCACGTTGTAGAAGAGAGCATTGATTGTAATATCTCTTCGCATCGCGTCCTGTAATGGGGTTCCAAAAGTCTATGTGTATCCAACCCTGAGCTCCGAGAATTCATGCCCTCTGCGTGATTGGCGTACCACCTGGGTAGGGATCCGACTCCCAGAGGCATATTCCTCGCTACGCAGGTTGACAAAGTCAAGTTCATACCCAAGCACAGTTGTCCTGGCCGTTTCAAGATGCTTCGATTGCTCTGGATTGCTAGCGATTTTCGTGACGCCCTTAATTTCCAAGCGTTTTTCGTTGTAGCAATACGAAATGAATTTCTGGGCAAAAATCACGCCCATAATATCTTCAAGAGCAACGTCAATATCATTCGATTGCAAGCCTAGGAGCTAAGTGTCGACAAGATACGTTCGACATATGATCAGCGTTGTCCGACATTGCCAGGAAATAATGGGTTTACCTTGTCTCGAACCCACCCGCCCGCGATCCTGCATGAGGTCTGTACACCCTCGGCTTTCATTTCCTCTGCGCATTCATCAAGCAATGTACAGAGTTGGTCCTCTTGGGGAGTAAGCTTGACATCCATCACAGCAGGTACTCGCACGCGACCGGTGAAGCTCCTGGCTATGTGTGGCCGCCTCGCTAGAAGTGACAGTGCGCGTTGGCAAGCAAGCATAAATGTGGAGTTCTGACTCCTGTAAGTCGCGAGTCCAAAATCGACACGACCAAACCCGCGCACGAGTCGAATCTGCAAAGCGTGTACGACTACGTTCTATGTTGTCCTTATGGCGGCGTGCACAAGGCCTTGCGTATGCAACAAAGTAGCCTCTGTATGAAAACCGAGTGAATGCCTGGTGGAACTCGGCTGCAACTTGAGTCAAGCAAGCACTGCAGCAAGCTCGCGGTCATAGGCACTTGCACGTGACCGAATGAGGGCTTCTGATAGGGTGTCAGGTGAACCAAACGACGCATAAACAGCGGAGAGCCCGCAGACTATTCGCTTCGAAGTCTCATTCCATATCATCCTCCCCTCAGACCCCGTCACGGTCCCTTCCAAGCCATGGGCGTCGTTTCGAGCTGCTGCGAGTCCTGTTGTCAGTATTCTCCCTCTTCTTTCCCCCGTTGCGAGGCCCCGCCGGTTGCCATTCAAAGCCTCGGGTTACCCGTTCGATTCTCAGACGATCATCACCACTAACTGTTTCTTCGGTACACAGTTCATTCGCGCAAATCTCAATCATATGAACCATTATTGCTTGAGAATGAGCGGGAGGCAGTGGCAGATCTATTGCAATACCTAGAGAGTGCGTTATTTGGATATCGGTTTCTGCTACGCCTGGTCCTCACTGTATTCGCTTACGGCAGACCGAACGACAACCAACTTCTTCTCGGGATCACCTCTCACCGCGTTGACCACACTCTCGTTTTCTGATAATGTCGACCTCCAGCGGAGCGCGGCTCTAGCGTTTGCTGAGATCACCGAGAAGGAAGTGCGACCCGTGGGTCGGGACACGCTTGATCCTATCCTCTTCCTTCTCAGTAGCCACGATACGGAAGTGCAGCGGGCTGCAAGCGCGGCGTTAGGTAACTTGGCCGTCAATAGTGCGTTGCATCCGTCTGCAAATTCCACACCATGCAAATCTGACCGTGCCATGTCTGCAGCCGATAACAAGCTACTCATCGTAAAGCTTGGCGGTCTGGAACCCCTGATTCGACAGATGTTGAGCCCCAATGTTGAGGTGCAGTGCAATGCTGTTGGCTGTGTTACGAACTTGGCGACACATGGTACGATTGGTTTTCTGCAACCATGCGAGCTCGCCTCAACCTCATCTTCAGACGACAACAAGACAAAGATAGCGAAGTCAGGCGCTTTAGTTCCTCTCACTCGTTTGGCGCGTTCCAAAGACATGCGAGTCCAGCGAAATGCGACTGGTGCACTGCTCAACATGACCCATTCCGGTACGTATCGTCCCATCAGTCATGATGTTAAGTTGACCCTTTGTATAGATGAAAACCGGCAGCAGCTCGTGAATGCGGGTGCAATACCTGTACTTGTGAGCTTGTTGAATTCACCAGATACTGATGTCCAGTACTACTGCACGACAGCTCTCAGCAATATCGCTGTGGATGGTGACTTACATGCCCCTCTGTTCAAATCCGATTGGACTGACTATGATATACAGCTGTAAATCGGAAGAAACTTGCGCAGAATGAGCCGAAGCTCGTGGCAAGTCTGGTCCAACTTATGGATAGTTCGAGCTTGAAAGTGCAATGTCAAGCTGCCCTTGCCCTCCGGAATCTCGCAAGTGATGGTAATGTATCATGTATCTGTCGCAAGGGTCGCTGGCTGATTCTTCGCATCAGAGAAATACCAACTGGAGATAGTGAAGGCAGACGGGCTGCAGCACCTACTACGCCTCCTACAGTCGACTTACCTTCCCCTCATCCTCTCGTCTGCGGCATGCGTGCGCAACGTATCAATCCACCCATTAAACGAATCACCAATCATTGAGTCAGGTTTCCTACAACCATTGATCAACTTGCTATCGTTTAAGGATAACGAGGAGGTTCAGTGCCACGCGATCTCCACCTTACGCAATCTTGCAGCGAGCTCGGAGAAGAACAAGCAGGCTATTGTAAAGGCAGGGGCGATCCAGAGTATCAAAGAGCTGGTGTTGGAGGTGCCCATGAACGTCCAGAGCGAAATGACTGCCTGTGTTGCTGTGTTGGCATTGAGTGGTATGTCGATTCCGTATACGTTTATTAATCGCCAATTATTGATCATTGTTCGTGATAGACGAGCTCAAGGGGCAGCTTCTTGAGATGGGGATCTGCGAGGTGCTTATTCCTCTGACAAATTCGCAGAGCTCAGAAGTGCAGGGCAACAGTGCCGCTGCACTGGGCAATCTGTCATCGAAGGGTCAGAGTCCTCATTATGAACGTGGATGAATATTAACTGATGGTCCGTATAGATGGTCGAACGACTACTGATGACTATTCCGCATTTAACGACGTATGGGACAAACCGGATGGAGGCATGCATCGTTATCTATATCGATTCTTGACCAGTCTGGATGCAACGTTCCAGCACATTGCCGTGTGGACAATTGTTCAGCTGCTAGAATCTGGTGGTACGGAATTAGCTGATAATTAACCTGATCGACTGATTGAGTCTTTTGCAGATCCACAACTGATCAGCAACATCCGCGTGTCAAGTATCCTGATCCCAAATATCCGTCAGCTGGCGGAGACGCGTACATCAACGCCGTCGTCATCGATTGGTGGTACACCACACTCTCATCACTCACAGACACACTCGTATGCGGATACAGAAACTGGTGATGGCCAGGGGGAGATCCAAATGCTCGCCCGACGTATTCTCGACATTACAGAGAGTGATAGCGATGGTGCTATGACGCCCAGCGCCGCGGCGTCGCAACTACAGGCGGCGTCGCTGCGAGAGCATGAGGGGAGTGTCGGTAGGGATCACGAGGAGCTGAGAAAAAGCGTTCGGGAGGCATTCTCGGCCGGATCGTTGGGACATTGAGATATTTATACTGTTATTCGTGGAAGTCAGTTGTGTGACGATGACCCGGATGGCAAGAGATGTTTTCGCTCATGTCCGCCTAGATGTTGACATCCTGCCATATGTGCATTCGCCTTCTTCTCTGTATATGTTGGACATTTCGCCTTCCTGTCTTAGGGTCCGTCCTGGGTGTTGCATTTGTTTATTACCTCCTGCCTCATAGTTCGCCATAATTCGTATTCACTGTCGTCGCACCGCTCGACTTCCAATTCCATAAATATCGCTACGAAGCTAACGAATATGTACGTATGCTACACGTCGAACGGATTCTGTGTCTGGTACCTGGTACATCCAATCGTCAATTTTCAGGACCTGGGATGGTTGCGCACAGGATTGAGCAGCAACAAAGAGTCCAACCATAGCCTTACAATGAATTACAAGACATAGAATCTCCAGCTTAAGGTTTTTCTGCAGATGGCCCTCGGCAGTTTTAAAGACATACATACAGTGTGTAAGTCGTTCACGGGAATTAGCAGAAAACCGAAGAGCGGCCTTCCAATTGTGTTATTGTGCATGTCTGCCCGATTCGAGACCGACCAGGGACCTTCTGATTGGATTATGAAATGGATGTATGCGCAAGGTCGACCGGCGAGATACATAATTAGTGCGATGGGAATGATACGTAAAATGCGAGGAGGAAGCCGCGACGGGGGACCGAAGGAAAAGGGGAAGGGTGGGGAAGGGAGGACTCAGGACTGATAGCAAATTGTATCATACGATTTCATCTTGCTGGAGCCTGCATCATGAAAACTATCATTAATTGTAATAATCAATTTGGATGCCGATAGGAAAGCACAAACCTATTCGCGATATAGAGCTGTTTTGATGAATGTGTGCCGTGGTCAGGCCAACACAGTCACGGAACGACGTTTGCAAACCGTGCTCTTGTGACGAGAGCTCGCCGCATCGGGGCGGCAGAATTCCAACCCGGTGCATACCTGTGTGAGTCTACCTTGGAGAGAAGTCCATCTGTACCTGGCGCGCCCAACTCCATTCCACTGCACACAGTTGTGCAGCCGCATTCGGATATCGACGCCGAGTTGTACATATCTCGGGGACCATGAGGACGCCGGCGGCTGCATCTCTCTTTGACCTCCATGGTATGATCTACGTCAACATCACCCTCAGCTTCGTACTCGCGTCCGTTCCTCATACTCTCATTTGAAACGAGGTGGGAATCACAGGGTATTAAGCGGATGGCAAGCTTTAGGGCATGAGGGGACTTGATATTGGGTAGACGAGGGTAGACGATGTTTTCCTGGGACAGCGAAGGCCAATGTTTGATTTCTTCACGTGAACTGGGCGAGTCGGAGTCATCTCCCTGGCTGTCGTGCTCCACCAACGAATATACAGAAGACGGAAAGGTATTAGAGAACCCTATACTGGAAGAGGAGCTTAAAGTGGGTCCAGAGACAGTAATAGACATGGTGATGACACTGTGTTAGGATGCTGGAGAACAATCGCTATCGTAGTGAGCAGGATAGAGCCGCATTTTATGCACTTTCTCTCGGTGAGGATTTGAAGATACGAAACTGCCTACAAGTCTGGTGTGCTGATATCCGAGCTACATCTGCGAGCAGTGATGGATATGTTGCAATTAGGACCAACCGCTCATGACGGATATCCACATCTGCTACCGAGTTGTTGGTCCCGCCACCAACGAGGATGTCCTTCACAGAGCATGCAAGAGCCTGAATACCAAGAAAATGTGAAAGTAGAAGATAACACACCAAGTACCATGACGAACATGACCAGTGTTCTCATTGATTATATGCGTAGTCAATTCTGACCTAGCATGAATCTGACAGTGGATTGTGCTCGAACAGCGAGGAACGCACTCGCTACCTTTGCGATGATATGTTGCTATTGTGTGAGCATACTAATATCTCACAAGTGCATTTTCCGCCGGATGCGGTTTGGTGGAAAGGCAAGTGGAGGTCGAGGATACCCGGCTATTTCCGGGATATGGGATCGTGTGGCTCACGCGTCGGCCACTCGACTTTGTCCTGTGCGCCATGTTGTCCGCAGGGTGCAGCCACGGCTGCGATGGAGTTCGGCCACTGTGGCCGCCCTCCACACCACTGTCGCATGCCTCGCCGTTCCATTGCCGTGTGCGCGCTCTGTCCTTCGCTTGGCCTCCCGCTTTGTCTGCTCTCTCCATATAACTCCACACCTCGAGGGCTGCGCTCAAACTCTTTCTCCACCGTCGCTCCTTCAGTTTCTCTCTCACTTTCACTTTCCCGCTGTGCCATGTACCGCTGTCTGTCTCTGCTGCTTTTCCTTCTCGTCAACACCGCCCCTTCCGACGCCAGTATCTTTGCCCGGGGATCCAAATCCGTCTTGCGTGCCGCTAGCCGCGCACGTCATCATGCGACGGGTCGAAGCGCTGGACTGGTCCGGGACCTGAAGTTAGCATACTCCGGTGTGTTTGTGAACCAGTATGCTGCCGATGAGCCCAGTTCTGGCAGGATGTATTGCGTCAATGTGCCAGGAAATCAATCCATCTTGGATCACGGCAGTCCGTCTGCGACGGGAACCGTGACTTCTGCAGCGTCTGCTCCTACTAGCAGTGCTGTTGCATCCTCGCCTTGGAAGCTCACCCAGAGCTATGTAAGTCTCCTTCTCACACGAGCCGCTTCCCACAGAGATCTGACGGCATAGAGCAGGAAGGCGACTCGTTCTTTGCAGGATGGACGTTCTTCACATACGTCGATCCGACTGGAGGCAACGTCGATTATGTTGACGGGAGTGCCGCGGTAAGTTGTCTCTGCTTCTGCTCGATCGATCATGGGGTAACGTTTAGCGGACCACAACAGCAATCTGCGAATCTTACAGGTATCAACAGCGCGGGCAACGCATACCTGAAAGTGGACACGACACCTGTAGTGTCGGGGAATCGGCAGAGCGTCCGCATCACGACGGACTATACCTATACTGGCGCATTGGTTGTTCTCGATGCTGTGCATATGCCCACTGGCTGTGGCACCTGGCCCGCTTTCTGGTCCAATGGTGCGCTACCCGTCTGACTGACGTATGCTTATAATAATGTAACCCGCCTGCTTCTTATAGGCCCAAATTGGCCTGATGGTGGCGAGATTGACATCGTCGAGGGTGTGAACGACTATACGAATGACCAGGTTACGCTTCACACTACGACAGGTTGTGCACTTCCGACCTCAAACTCCACTGCACTCGGAATCTCTGGCACCCTGGTGAGCTCAGTGGACTGCTCTGTAGCAGGTACAGGCGATACTGGATGTGGTATTCGCGCCAACCAGACGAACTCTTTCGGCGAAGGATTTAACGCCATTGGAGGGGGTGTGTATGCTAGTGCGTGTTTTTGCTTGGATGCGCTATGCTACCATACTGACGACCTGTCTAGTGCAATGGGATAACAGCGGGGTATCTGTGCACTTCTTTACGCGGAGTACAATCCCCACGGATATAACTGCTGGTGCACCGCAGCCCTCCGGATGGGGCACGCCCATCGCCAACTTTCCAGCGTCGTCATGTAATCCGTCTCAGTTCTTTTACAACCATTCTGCCATCTTTGATACTACGCTGTGGTGTGTAGATTCTTGGACCCTGCATCTGAATGTGCTAATGTATTTGTGTGCTTCATTCCAGTGGGGCATGGGCAGGAGATGACTGGGGCGACGCTGGTGTGCCAGGGCAGGCGCAGAGCTGTGCACAGCGGACGAACACGTCGACGTGCCAGGAGTTTGTCGCGAACAATGGTGCTGCTTTCGACGAGGCTTGTGAGTTTTGCGGTCTTGTATCTCATTGGCGTGTGCTTATGCGTGCTTCTCTAGATTGGGAGGTCAAGAGTGTCAAGATCTACCAGACAACCTCATAGGCTTCGCGCGTCTCACGAATCGCTTATTTGTGTATGCGCTAGCCTTCTTTTCCGATGTCTGGATGTATTACATTGCCAGAAGTCGTACTGCTGTATGCGACACATGTATCGTTAGCTTATCATCATATCAGGCCCACGACAATGACATTGTTATCATCATAGACCGATATGCGCGGATTGGTACCTGTCAGATACCCGCTTTGGGCAACGCGTACTATTTTGTACTACCTAAGCGGTCTTGCGAACGCGAACGCGACTTGACGCGTCTCACGTGGTGAGCCGCGCGCGCGTGACCGCGCGTAGGCCATTGTTCAACGATCTCGGTTGATCTGCTTCCGCCACCTGTGTGATCGTGTCTAGTGCATAGGTCTTGGCCGCCGGCCTTCGAGGTGGACCCACAACCGGACCGCGCGCATTGAGCACGGGCGACCTTGTCTTCAATACTAGCCACGTCGCAGGCGATGAGCAAAGGCGGCGGCCCGCTAGGAGCTGCTCCAGTCACATCGCTGTACCCACTCTCCCCCGCAGCAGACGCTCTGACAGCTCGCTTTCAGCGCTTTCAATGCACAAAGCCCTCGGAGGAAGGTGAAGTCATCCCGGATAGCGAGGAGGAGAGATTGCGGTATGTTGTTTTTCGTACGAATGTTCCGCATTCTGAACAAGTGTCAGCCCGTCCACACAGCATGAATCGAAGTTGCCCGGCAGGCGATACTCTAATGTCATTGAGATATCGTCAGACGAGGATGACGTGCCGTGAGGTTTCTTTTATGATCATGCGGGTATTGAAGCTCTAAGTAGCTGCTGCACAGAACATGTGCGCGCCCACGTCTGTGCCCTCGGACACCAAAAGCGAATGACTTTGCTACCCCTCGCCGACGTCGTATACGTATACTCAACAGTCCAAGCTCTGACAAGAATGTAGAGACGAAGCCTGCAATACCCCGCAAGCAGGGCAAGGTATCATGTACCCCGGTAAAGCCTACTGAAGTTGTCATCGACCTGACTTACAGCTCCCCGGATGAGGACGAGGATTCTCCGGCCAAGCGTCAGAGTACAAAACGCAGCGTGCTTGTGACACCTTTATGCGTGAACGACAGTAATGAAAATAACGACGACGACGGTGCGATACTCGTATTGTTAGTGCTCCACCAAACGGGGTGGTATGAAGCTGACCGATTTCTATGGACCCCAGAAATGAGCCTCCGCGGGCACGCAAGCCCATTATGCGCGTTCGGATTGACGACGAACCCAATGCGGATCCTTTTGCCGCCTGCACTCCCGTCTCACGCGCGCCGTCAGACTCAGACTCAGAGTCTGACCCCAAAGCAATAGCGCGCGTGTCGAAGCGCGCCCCCGCATCTACTCCGCAGAAGAAAACAGGCAGACCACCCCGCCTGACTAAGAAGGCGCTGGCTGCAGCAGAGCAGGCGAGGAGGGAGAGCTATGCCCGTGAACTGTTTGACGAGCTGAACCATGAAATTTTCGAAGGCGGCATTCCGTCTGAGACGCAGCTGAAATGGAGCAACAGATTGCTTACGACGGCCGGTAGGGCAAGGTGGCACAGGTAAGGCACCGTTCGCCGCCGCTATCTGCTTGCGCTCAATGCGCTGATGTCGCGTCAGATCGAAAGATGGTGTACAAACCTCGGAGATTGAGCTTGCCACTAAAGTTCTTGACTGTGATGGTGCGTGAGGAGGGCTTTACACCAAGTTTGCACTCTAAATATCCTTTGCGAACAGAGCGGATCCGAAATACGCTGTCGCACGAGATGTGCCATCTCGCATGCTGGATCATAAACGAGAATCCAAAAGAGGCGCATGGACCTACGTTTCAAAAATGGTGAGTCACTCGATGGGCTAATGGCCGTGAGAAGCCGCTGAATTGGGCTGGGGTGCGTTGATAGGGCAAGAGATGTCATGAGAGCGCGCCCAGAGATTGAAGTTACGGTGAGTCTTCGCTCCTGGTTTGTGGGTGTGTTTCCTCTTCCCAATGTTGTGGTCGCAGACCCGACACGATTATGAAATCACGTACAAGTATCAATGGAGTGAGCTCTGAACCTGTCTTTTCATGTTATGTACTGAAAAAACTCTTGCACAGAATGCCAACAATGCGATAAAATGTAAGTCGTTTTAGGGCACGTATAGGTAAACACCCGATGACATGCATTCCCCCAGCTATGGACGTCATAGCAAGTCCATTCGGCCGGACGAATGCGGTATGTCGAACGTTCTTCATATTCCTCGAGTCTGATGTATTGTAAACATAGTCTGCGGCGCATGTAACGAGGGCAAGTTAATTCCACTCTTCGACACTCCACAGCGGGCGCCTCGGACACCGAAGAACAAGGCGGGTAGCCAGCTAGCCGCCTCGAAAAGTCGCGGTTCGCGCTCTCCTATGATCATATTCTGCCGACAGAATCTAATGAGTATTCAGATTCCCCTTTGGCCGTACCTTCGCCGGTTGGCGACGCAGACGCCGTGGACGTGCAGGACACGCCCGTACGTTCGCGCTCTGGCCTTGCGAGCTTGCCCGAGTCTCTCGTGCGTGCGGGAGATTCGGATATTGAGACCTTAGCGCACGTCTTTGGTGCTATTTCTATTACGAGCGATAGGAGTGCTTGAGGGCGATTTGAGAGGGACCTCAGGGTGTTACGTCGGGTTCTTTTAGGTCCAATGTGATTCAGGATATTTGTGAAACGCGATCTACTCCAATCACGCACTTTAGCTCATCTCAGTATAGTATGTTCGTACTAATGATATATGACAACCAAAACATCTACTCGCTAGTGTTTGGATGGATATCCACGCATGCGACGGTGGGCCGACTAGCAGGACAGTGTCAGGATTTCAATTTGATCTTGCTAGGAAGGGCACAAATAGAATGTTGCAGGTGGGTTCGAACTCTTGCATCCAATTCCACTGAGGTGTGGTATGATCTGGAAAACAGCACCACTCTGATTCTGAGACACCTCTCTACATGCAAAACAAATAATCTCAACACCATCTCAATCTGCAATTGGTTGTTCCTCATGATCCCAAACCTTAAGTAGATAAAAATTCAAAGAAACTAGCCCACCGCGAGGGTCGAACTCGCAGCCTTCAGATCACATGACCATGTTCTAACCCCGAGATTATCCCGGAGAACCCGCCTTAAGAGTCTGACGCTCTATCCGATTGAGCTAGGCGGGCGATACATCCGCTTGCTCAAAACCACAACATATAGCCAAGCGCGAGCTTATGGCGCACGCGCCACGTCACATGAGGTCGGCGATAGCCGAGGACCTACCTGAACCTTATTGCTTCAGCCACTATACAGAACAACGCGATACTGTTCCCCATCCGTCGACAACGGCAAGTCGATACATTAACCCCGGGCAAGGTATGCTGTCGTTGCTAACATCATAAGCAACGGATATTTTTGACATTAGCCTCTGTCAGTGCACGCTCCCAGTACCCTCAAGAACCCTTCAAAATGACCCACGACGCCGTTTGGTTCTCCCGCCCTCGCAAGTACGGAAAGGGCAGCCGTCAGTGGTAAGCACTACGCCCGGATGAGCCACAAGATAGGAGGAGACTCATGAGATCGCTTGCAGCCGCCTCTGCGCGCATCAGGCTGGTCTCATCCGCAAGTACGGCCTTGACCTCTGCCGTCAGTGCTTCCGTGAAAAGTCTGCTGCCATCGGGTTCAACAAGGTGCGTTCATTCCCTTGTCAGTTGTCCTGCTCTCAGTTGCCTGATGACATCCTATCTGAATGGCAGACACGATGATTGTCGCACTTGCATCCTACTCGCCGCTTTCTCGTGTCGCATTGTTCCCGGTTTTCTTTGCATCTTCAAAATGACTTCGTATTTGTATGCAATATGATATGCTGAGCAAGAGATGTTTCCGCATGCAAACCTGCATCGATCGGACTTACATGCACACGAGTGTTCGTTAAACTTCAACGCCACTGGCCGACCATGATTGATCAATCCTCCAGCACAAATTATTCTCAGGTACATGATGAATTGCAGAATGATCGACCATATTCACCCGATGTGATACATATGCTTACGACTTCGCACAAGCCGAAATCTATGAACACCACCAACGTACACAGCTTCTATGAATACAGCGCCTGGGGGCATAATATAGTTTGTCCGGGGTATGACATGCATCGTGTATTGTGACCCTGTTGTTCCTGTGAAAGTCAAGGTTGACCAACGGTATGAAACCCTATGTAATGACGTCTAGTGGTTGGAGCAGATGGGGATGGCCGACAGGCGGCGAATGTGCTAGTCCCGCTTAGCGGAACTAATGCAAGACCATGTTATACTGTCAATCTTCTCAACTCGTCTGGTAAATCTTCACGCTCAGGACTTCCCAGTCTATACAGATCAGTCAGCATCAATGCGTTGTCATTATGAGCGTGGAGAGAAACTTACAGGCTTCAGCAAACGCTGCACCATTATTCTGGACGTATTCCGAACATGACGAAGTGCCTGTGATCTGAGCACAGCTTTCTGATTGACCTGGCACTCCGGTGTCGTTCCATACGTTCCCTGCCCATTGGCCGCTTTAAACAGAGATGTTAGCATACGCACAACATCGGCAAAACCAAGGAACGTACCACAGTGTGGTATCAAAAATTGCAGAGTGATCATAAAAGAATTTCGAGGGGCTGCAGTCCGTCGCAGGCCAGTCGGCCATTGGTGCGCCCCAGCCCGATGGCTGGGGTGCGCCGGCGGTGATATCAGATGGAATGCTGCTACGGGGGAAGAAATACACGGATATGCCACTGTCTTCCCATTGCACTGTGCACATCAATGAATATACGATTCCTTAAAGAAGTGGAGTATGGCATAGCAAACGTACTTGCATATACACCACCGCCGATCCCGTTGAAACCTGCACCGAACGAAGTATTCGAAGTCGAGCGGACCCCACAACCTTGATTACCGGTTTCCGCGGCAGCACAATTAGTGCCCCCAACTACAGTCCCTGTAATGCCGAGCACGCTGCTATTGGCAGAAGGGATCGAGCAGCCGGGATTGGTATGGATGGTCGCCTGGTTATTCGTATACGTGTTCACGCCCTCAACAATGTCAATCTCCCCGCCTGCGGGCCAATTGGGACCTGTAAACTTAGATAAGTATGCATTGCAGGTGAATTTGTATGTCCGCGCACCATTACTCCAGAACGCCGGCCATGTACCACATCCAGTAGGCATATGCGACGCATCGAGCACGACAAGTGCTTCGGTGTATGTGTAATTCGTCGTGATTCGCACACTAGGTCGATTGCCCGAGACTTTAGGCGTGGTGTCCACACGCATGATGGCGTTCCCCGCGCCGTTGATGGAAGTGAGGTTCGTGCTAGTCTGCACAAGCGAGATGTGAATTTAGTGAAAGGTCTTAACCGAGATCAGGGGCGAAGAAGAAAGGGACGCACCGCCGTGCTCTGATCGACATATTGTACAGTTCCGTCGGTGGGGTCGGACGCGGTGAAAAATGTCCAGCCATCGAAGAAGGAATTTCCTTGCTGCCACGCGGTGAGCACTCGAGGCGGACCCGCGTCAATGGTACACGTACGTATTCCTGCTTCAGCTTCCACGGCGAGGAGGCCGCTGTGCTAGTCGCACTGGATGCCGAGGCCGACGTTGTCCCGGATGCCTTGGTCCCGCCATTGCCGGTCAAGCTAGTGTTCATAGCCTGATCTGGGTCGATGACGCAGTAGACATGTTGCGTACCACTGTCCGCTTGCTCGACCAAGATGCCGGAGAGTGCGCGTCGGAGGTCGTGGGCCAGCCCGGAGCTGCGTTTGACGGCGTGACGGTGAGCTGAGCCGATGCCATGGAGGAGGTGATCTGAGCCCCGAGAGAACAGGCTGGCGTGGGAGGGCAGTGCGCTGGCAACGAGGTAGAGGATGAGAGGGAGATGGAGGTACATGGCGGTTGCCTGGAGAGGTGAGAAAAGGGGAAGAGAGGTCGGGAGTGGGGATAGATGGGTTGAAAAGTGCCCGAGGCTCAGCCTGGTGCTGGCAGATGGAAGGAAAGAAAAGTCGCCGGCGGACTGGTCCGAAATGAGGGCAGCAGAGAAAAGCAATGCAGGCTTATCAACTTGTCCGCAGCGGGTGGAGCTCTCCTCAAGGCCGCAACGCGAGCAGCGTCGCCAGAGCCAATCAGCACCCCTCGGCACGACCGCTACACGAGGCCATTGTCCCATCCGCTGTTTGGCTCATCGCCGTCCTTGCTTTGTCTACACACTAGCTCGTCGCATCGCATCGAGAGCGAGACCGTCGCCAACGTAGGGACCCAGTCGTCGAGCCTGCGTCGTGTTTATCCACGCCGAGAGTGCCAGTGAGAGACAAGACCGTTTGTGCCGCTGATCGACGTTGCCCATAAAAGGTGAGACGCTCGATCTAGGTGCATTCCCAGGACACTCACTCGCATGCAAAGAGTTCGAAGTTCATATTCATCCTATGCCAATCAGCCCGGATCTCGTTTCATTGTCTATGAAGCGGCCATGGCTCCTGCGAGCTCGTGAATCCTCTTCATTCCCGTTTTCCGAACGTTCACGGAAGAACAGGTCAAAGAGACGCCCGCACGGAAGCAGATCAGACTCGTGAGTGGACTGAACATCATCTCTCCACATCCCGTTGTTCTACAGGTCCGAAACATGCCCAGAGCTCAAGCTCAAGCTCGACACACCATGGCTTACTAAACAACTTTTCACGTTGACAACAAGCTGGACGACTACACCACGATCGCCGCTAATAGCCTGCTGGAAAGCAGGCAGGCCGGTAGTTTCAAATTTCACCACCCAACGAACGGTGGTTCCGCTTTCTCGTTGAATCTACATCCGTGATTCGGCCAAGTCTCTTTGTGCGGGAATGTTTTGATATCACTCCCAGGGTCATTACAGAGCCCGTATGAGCAACGTGCAAGGCAGCTGGGAGCTTGACTACGGAAGCGGAGGTATTACCACCCTTCAAAGTTCACTGGCACGCGGCTCGGAAAACTGGCTTATCCTCTTTCAAGGAGCGTTTAAGTAAACTCACCAACAACGTGGCAGAGCCCTCCGCACTAGCACGGAAAGCTAGATATGCCCACATCATGGCCCCTGAACTTATCTATGGAGATGGACTGTCTCTATCGTACGCTCTCTGATGTGGGTTGTAGGGCTTGCGCGTCATGCTCTTTTCGGCCATGTCTTTCTAAAGTCCCCACGCGTTTGCAACGTCCTCGTTTTGTTCGACCGCCTAAAATGCTCCACTTAATTTTCTTCCGCTGCTCTTGCTTTCATTCTACTATCCACAGTGACTTGCAGTACTCTCTACTCCTTCGGGCTATGCTAGCTGATCATTCCTCTTTAGTCAGTTGCGAGAATCGGCACATATCTAGGTAACAAATGCAGCTACGATACTTTGGATATAAGTACGGTGGCTGCTTCCACAAGCAACATTCACGACGGAGGTGAATGGCAAGTCCATAATGGTTTTTCGATAGGCTTTCAACATGCTACTAGGACTATATCTATGTTGCATTGAGCGCATATACAGTGCGCTTAAATTCAGTTTGATCAGCTTCCTCTGATATCTGTCAGAACTCAGGTTGTCTCAGTTTTGGTGGTGCTGTGAGGTTGAACAGGACAGGCTATCATGGTGAGGAAGGCGACTGTTTGAGCGACGGTAACGTTCTATGCCAGAAATTTGAGATACTCTGATGACCCGTCGTATCGATATAAATGATCGCCATTAAAGTTGCGTCAGCAGTCATGCGCAAGGTTTATTGCCGGCGTAGTGGATCTCAATTGTATGGGTCCTACTCCAACAACTATGCAAGTGAGTTGCCGGTAGATATCGACCATTGAACACTCATTCTCCTTTGGCTTCTATGTATATCTTTGATTTTAGATGAGCCTGCTTCATAAATACGATATAGATTCTATGTATTTGCCAAATTTAATCACAAGCTGATGTTACTATTTCCAGACCGGTATCATAATCACTTGGATCGAGAGTGGGCGAAAGTCTTGACCTCGTCAGCGCCGACCTGTGGTTTCAGCTTGACATCGGACTCGGAGAGCCATGCTAACGCCCCCGCAGGAGTGGACTAGGTCGTTCGAACGGAAATCATCTGATCATTTCGGGGTGAGGAGCACCGTGCCAAGAGTCGACAGTTATCCCCAAGCAACAGAGTTCGCTCAGGTACACGTCCATTGTATTCTGGTTTTTCTCTATCGATGCGGAAGCAGCCTGTGTACCCACTCGCCGAGACGTCTTCCAATCGTTCTAGCGACCGCGGAGGTCAGTCGTCGTCCTTTGCGCGCCACTAACACCTTACTGCACTTTGGCACAAGGCCATTTCTTTTTTTGTCCCAATTCGTCTCAGGCATGCCTATAAAAGATAGCAGAACTTGTGCGGTCGTGTCAGAACGCGACGACACAACCCCAAGATGCTTCGCACACTCACACCTATCTCTCTCTCCGCAGTCCTTGCTTTTGCGGGTATGGCTGCAGCGACTTGCAGTGCCCCCTACTCCCTCGCTTTATGCTGCCTGAGTCTCGGACCTTTCAGCGATAATGCGTATGTGTGGAACAATGAATGCGGAGAATATGTTCAGGACGAGAGTGTCATAGTTGCTGCCGGGTGTGGCGATCAATTTGGAAGTGGCGAATGGTAGGCTGTCGATATTCACAGAGATCTGTGCTGCGACGCGTTGTGATACTTACGATAAATGAATTTATGCAGCTATGAAGATATGTATGTCGCATGCTGCGTCGGGTACATGCCAGGTAAGTGCATACTAAATCTCAAGAAAGCCATAATTACTGAAGTCCCTGCATAGGCTGTCCTAGTGAAGATGGTGCCGTCGGGTTGAATTGCACTGGATATTACTACGAAGGATGACCATCTCATAATGACGATCCGCACTGGTATGACACACAGTCTGCGTGATGATTTTTAGTTGTGGAATAAGACTGTCGACCCGGATGGGCTGATATTGTACTTACTACTTATGTATCAGCATATGTCAATCGAGGGGGCTATCTGCTATATGTTTGAACTCCACACCAAGCTATCAACTGTCAGGATGATATGGGCATCTACATTAGAAACGACCACTCTAATGGCGTATATTGTTTCACATCTTTTGTCGGTACCTCGCCCTGTATGTCAGAGTTAGAAGGCTTTATTGACCCTGGAACCCCCAGACATCTAGCGTTTCTCGGGGGTCTTGCGGACGGCATATATAGAGCAGGACACACTCACCCCGTCATCCGTACTTAACAGCCATGCGTATCAAATTTTCGTTAGTAGTCGTGGTCGTTCCTCTTGCTTTTGGACAAGCCGAAGGCGCATGCCCCGCGGAACGCCCCATCTCCCTCTGCTGTATGAGCCTTGCGCCATTCAGCAGTGATCTATACCTCTGGCAAGATGTCTGCGATGTCACTGTCCCAGATGAGAGCCTTCTCACAGCCAGTGGGTGTGGAGCTGACCTCCCCTGGTAAGCAGAAATGCTATTTCCTCGGCGACATATTATTGACGCAAAGCTGCAAGTGGGGACCCAGGATATACCGATTTGTATGACGTATGCTGCGCAGAATATCTCTGTGAGAACTATCCTTTTAAATAGTTCCCAATGCTAAATAGGCTTGCTGCCATGCGATACTCAGCCTGTCCTTCTGCGACTGAAGACGGATCATATGCTTACAACTGCACGGGGACGTATCTGGAGTAGACGGGCGACCCATCAGGAGATGGTGTAGTTGGGACAAAATTATACTGATTCTGAGTAATCGGTTGTTCATGGTGTACTAGACCAGCTTTGAGCCTCGACTATCTCCAGTCCTGCGGCAGGTTCGCAAAAGTTTCTGAGAAAACACATAGCCTGTCAATCGAGCCCATACATTTCTAAATGTTCGAAGTAGCGGATGAATACTTGTCCCCCCATTATGTCGCGGTCCCAGGAGTGGATGTGCCCAGCGAGAGCCATTCAAGTTGACCAAAGTTTACTGACATGCTAGTTCGGACTCGACTCGGAGCACTGACCAACTTAAAGTAGCAAGTGCGATTACCAAAAGCGGGAAGAAGACTGACGTGGTCGGTATCACGGGTTTAGCGCGCTTGTGGCAATCACAATTCTGAGTTTGAGACTTTTGAGGCTTGTCCTTTTGCATTTGAATGCCCTCTCCGGAACAACCACGACGGCGTCGTGGGCCACCTAGCAAACAAGCAACGTCAGAAGACGAAGATATGCCACCTAGAGCACTGGCGACCTCACTGGAAAGCATCACCATACAGCCACGGACTCCCAAAACGCCACGAAGCGTCCATCAACGATGGAATTCTGTGGACGTGAGTGCCGTGGACGAAGTGGAGCTCAGCCTTCTGCAAGAGGACGAACGGAGAGAGGCGGAAGCGGGCCTCTTTGACGGAGATGAAGAGGAGCGCGATCGGACGGCGGTCAAGCGACCAATGTCGACGCGGGACAAAAAAGCGATTGTCCTACTCATCGTTCTTTGTATGTATTGTTACACTGTCCAAGATGTCCACTCATACGGTCTTTTGTATCAAGATTTAATACAAGGGTTTCCGGTGAGCATATGCAAGACGTTCTCTCGGTATTTATACTCACTTCTGTTCACTTTTGTAGTTGGGACTAGCCTTAGGTATTTCTTTGCTGTACATGTATTTTGTGTCGCTGAATTTTGGACAGGTTCCCTCCCATTCCTTCTTAGAGAACATCTATCTTATTCGCAGCTGGCTATTTTCTCACTCTCGAGTTATCCATATTCGCTCAAGCTTTTATGGTCCCCCATCGTTGACTCTGTGTACTTTCGCTCCGTTGGACGCCGAAAATCATGGATCATTCCTATGCAACTGTTGGTTGGCACCATCATGGTTGCACTGTCTTTCCGTGCGGATGAGATGATGAACAAGGTCAGAACTAACGTTTTATATGCCATTCCCCACTCATATTGAATATACTAGCCTGATGAGTACATTCATGTACTGACAGCGGCGTTCACCGGTTTGGTTCTGTTGTCTGCTACCCAAGGTTCGTGCACTTCAATTGGCTTTGATTGGGTGCTGATGTCCAATACAGATATTGCCGTTGACGGTAAGGCGCAAGCGAAGGATGACATATGAGTTAGCTTGACCTTCGTCTCATAGGCTGGGCTCTCACTCTTCTATCTGAAGAAAACTTACCTTACGCATCGACATCCCAGACTATTGGGCTAAACACCGGATATTTGATGTCCTACACAGTCTTTTTAGCTTTTAATAGCGAGGCCTTCGCGTGGGTCTATTTTAGTTCCTACTTGTTCATGTATACTCATATTCAAATTTTATATAGCGCAAAATGGGGAGTTCCCAGGTTAACGTTAGGCGGATATCTGCTTTTCTGCGGCGTTATGTCATATGCTGTGACTGTATGGATACTCTTCAAAAAAGAGGTTCGTCGTTTCTGTGTCTTCCTCAAGGTCATTCCACTGAGGGTATCTAGGACAAAGAAACCACGGATGTGGACATTAGTATCAAGTCCGTCTACATGACGATGTGGACTATTTGTAAATTGAAACGTACGTTCATGCAAGCACGGGTGATACTACAACTGACTCATATAACAGATGTACAAACGCTCCTTATCGTACATCTCTTTGCCAAGATTGCCTTCCAAGCGCACGATGCTGCTACATCGCTCAAGATGGTAGAGAAAGGCCTTGGACGAGAAGATTTGGCCATGGTTGTCCTGATAGATTTTCCTTTCCAAATATTCAGTGGCTGGCTAGCCGGAAGATGGTCTAGAGGAGACAAGCCTCTCCGCCCTTGGATTTACGCTTACTGGCCGCGATTGGCGCTAACTGCCATAGCGGGTCTGATGGTATACTACTTCCCGAAGCCTCCAATTGCGACATGGTTCTTCGTCCTAATCGTAATACAGGCCGTCACTTCATCATTCGCCGCGTAAGCTCAGATTTCTTGTATGGATTCACGTCTCTTTTTCATACTGGTCCATGTAGCACCATTCAGTTTGGCGGTATGGCGGCTTTCCACAGCCGCGTCTCGGACCC